CATCTCCATAGGCACCTCTTGGCTCTGACAGTGTCCAGCCCTCTGTTGTTGATGGCCTTGGCAGTTGTGAGGAGTACCAGTCAAGGATTTTGTACAATGTCCAGGGACAGCTTTTTGGCTTCACATGTGGGTGTGGTAGCAGGTCAGTCTGAGATCCCTGAAAACCCTGACTCAGACTGGCATTGACAGATGGGTGTTTTATTTCTAGAGGGCTCAAACCCATTGGAGAATTTCTTTGCACCTCCTGTGCTTTGGTGAAGTCTTTTCTTTCAAGTTTAAAAGACTTTGTCCTTTGGCAAAACCCCATTGCTACAAAAAATACGAAAATTAGCTGGGCATGGTGGCATACGCCTGTGGTCCCAGCTACTCTGGAGGCTCTGGTGGGAGGATCGCTTGAGCCCAGGAGCTCAAGGCTCCAGTGAGCCGAGATCGCGCCACTGCACTTCAGCTTGGGCAACAGAGCAAGACCCTGTCTAAAAAAAAAAGTCCTTTTTCTTCACAGCTGGCTTAATTCCCACTGTGCTGTTGAGGCTGAAGGGTCACTGTTTTGTTCTACTTCTATTCACCTGACAGGCTCCATCTCCAAGTTAGATATGTGTGACAGGACCATACAGTTTTTATCTAATTGCTCTCTCTTTGGGATTCTGTTACGTGCTAGGGCCTTATTCTAGAGCATGAGCAAAACCGATGTGATCCTGGCCCTGAGGGGCTCACGATGTGAGTGGAGGAAACCTACGGTTACTCTTTATTCATTCGACAGATACTTACGGAGCACCTCTTCGTGCTAGGCACGTGCGAGGTTGGGGGAGTAGGCATTCTAGTGGAGGCTGTCAAGGAAATAAACCCACTAATGAACATGGAATTAAAAATGGTATTGTGTTTTAAAGGTAATGCAGTGGGGTCTTCGGGAGGATAACTGAGGGGTCCCTGTGGTTTGGGAGAGTCATCCAAGAATTGTTTGAAGTAACCTTTTCAAACTTCACTGTGGTGTAACATGCAGACCTGGAAGTGTGTGAAGTATGTGAAACACATCTGAAGCTGTTTCCGTGTGTGTGCAACGCAAGTGACCAGCACCCCAGAGGGCTCCCTCCTGCCTCCCCCATGCCAGGACCCTGCACTCTCATACACACCGCCTCTTACCACCACAGGTTAGATTTCTCTGTTCTTGAATGTCATGTGAATGGAATCACACAGTAGGTTGCCTTTTTATGTGTTTTGAGACAGGGTCTCTGTCGCCCAGGCTGGAGTGCAGTGGCACAATCATGGCTCATTGTAGCCTTGACCTCCCAGCCTCAGGTTATCTTCGTGCCTGGTGCAGCTGCTTTGGAAGTTTGGCACTTTCTCTCAAGTAAACATGTACCTACTCTATGACCGAGCAATGCCACTTTTAGGAATCCACCAGAGAGAAATGAAAGGACGTGTGTCCATATTTAGACCTAGATGCACTACAGGCAGTGGCTCACGCCTGTAATCCCAGCACTTTGGAAGGCCGAGGTGGGTGGATCACCTGAGGTCAGGAGTTCGAGGCCAGTCTGGCCAACATGACAAAACCCCATCTCTACTTAAAAAAAAAAAAACACAGAAAAGATAACCTGAGGTGGGAGGTTGAGGCTGCAATGAGCAAAGATCAGGCCACTGCACTCCAGCCTGGGCAACAGAAACCCTGCCTCAAAATAAATAAAGTAAAACGAAAGGCAACCTAACTCTGAGTAGCCGGGACCACAGTCATGTGCCACCACTCCTAGCTAATAAATAGGTTGCCTTTTATTTCTGGCTCCTTTGCCCAGCATAAGAATATTTTAGAGATTGATCACATTGATCATGTGTGTCAATAGTTTCTTGCCTTTTTTTTGAGACAGGGTCTTGCTCTGTTACCCAGCTGGAGTGCAGTGGCTTGATCTTGGCTCACTGCAACCTCTGCCTCCTGTCCTCCTGGGCTCAAGCAGTGCTCCAACCTCAGCCTCCTGAGTAGCTGGGACCACAGGCATGCAGCACCACACCAAGCCAATTTTCGTATTTTTTATAGAGATAGGGTTTCGCCATGTTGCCTAGGCTGGTCTTGAACTCCTGGGCTCAAATGATCCCCCTACCTCAGCCTCCCAAAGTGCTGGGATTACAGGTGTGAGTCACTGCACCTGGCCTGGTTGTTTTTTTTTTTTTGAGTACTGAACAGATGCTGCACAATGTCTTCATGTCCCACAATTGGTTTATACCATCCTCTGTTGATGAATATTTGGGTTGTTTCTGTTTTGATTTATGAATAAGGCTGTTATGAAGCTTGCATCTAGGTCTAAGTATGGACTCACTTCTCTCAGGTGGATTCCTAGAAGCGGCGTTGTTTGGTCATAGAGTAGGTGTACGTTTACTTCAGAGAAATTGCCAAACTACTCCCAAAGTAGCTGCACCATTTTGTGTCCCACCGGCAAGTTGGGGCGAGCTCCGGGTGGCTCCACATCCCCACCAGAGTCACTTTAGTATATGTGTTTAGTATATATGGATCTTACGGTGGCTTTAATTGCATTTCCCTGATGACTCACAGAGGTTAAGCACCTTTTCATATGTTCACTGACCATTGGAATTTGGTCTTGGGTGAAGTGTATGTTTTTATTATCTGTCTAGCCTTTTAAAAATTGATTTGTAAAAGTCATTGTATATTCTGGACAATTTCTTTGCATTTCCTAATTTTGTGGGCTGGCTTTTTTTTTTTTTTTGAGAGGGAATCTCGCCCTGTCGCCCAGGCTAGAGTGCACTGGAACAATCTCCGCTCACTGCCACCTCCACCTCCCAGGTTGTTAAAGTGATTCTCCTGCCTCAGCCTCCCAAGTAGCTGGGATTACAGGCGCCCGCCACCATGCCTAGCTAGTTTTTTTGTATTTTTAGTAGAGATGGGTTTTTGCCATGTTGACCAGGCTGGTCTTGAACTCCTGACTTCAGGTGATCCACCCGCCTCAGCCACCCAAAGTGTTGGGATTACAGGTGGGAGCCACTGCGCCCAGCCCCAATTTTTGCATTTTTAGTAGAGCGGGTTTCATCATGCTGGTCAGGCTGGTCCTGAACTCCTGACCTCAGGTGATCTGCCCTCCTTGGCCTCCCAAAGTGCTGGGATTACAGGTGCGAGCCACCACACCTGGCCAGGAGGTCACTTTTGGACTGAGAGTTTTATCCTAAGTAAGTCACTGGACCTTCCAGGCAGAGGGAACAGTGTGGGCAGAGACCCTGCATAGAGAATGTGTTTAGCATGTTTTGAAGAAAGGACAACATGAAGAGGCTGGTGTGGCGGGAGCACAGAGAGGGAGATGGGGAGCAGGGAAGCACGTATAGGCACAGGACACTGGGAACGGGGGGACTTAGCATTTTATTCCAAACACAACCAGAAGCTGTTGGAAAAATGCAAGCACAGATAAAAATGGTTTTATCATCATATGTTAAAATCTCGGGCTGTGACACCATGAAAGACAGATAACGGCCCCAATACATGATCTTATCTGTGCGACACTGTGGGTTTCTTCACTTTGAAAAACAACTTCTGTGGCCAGGCTCGGTGGCTCATGCCAGTAATCCCAGCACTTTGGGAGACCAGAGCAGATCACCTGAGATTGGGAGTTTGAGACCAGCCTGGCCAACATGGTGAAACCTAATCTCTAATAAAAATTATCTTGGTCGACGGGCATGTTGGCTCATGCCTGTAATCCCAGCACTTTGGGAGGCCAAGGTGGGTGGATCATGTGGGGTCAGGAGTTCGAGACCAGACTGGCCAACATGGTGAGACCCAATCTCTACTAAAAATACAAATTAGCCTGGCGTGGTGGAGGGCACCTATAATCCCAGCTACTAGGGGGGCTGAGGCAGGAGAACCACTTGAACCCGGGAGGCGGAGGTTGCAGGGAGCTGAGATGACACCACTATACTCCAGCTGGGTGACAAGAGTGAAACCCTGTCTCAAAAAACTAACTAAATAAATAATTAAAATAATCTTGGAAAACCAGGTCGTCGGGAGCCAGCTGGCCCTGGGTTTGAATAATGAATGAGCTTCTACTCAGTTCCTCCCATATAAGCTGTGTGTCTCGGTGGGGAGAGTGCATGTGCCGTGTGCCTGGCGCCGGGAGTGCTGCGTGTATGCTGTGTTACTGTTGTCTCTGTTGCTGTGGTTTCTTATGGTTGTGACTTTGGACCGAGAGCCTGGGTTTATCTTCAGTGCTGGCTGGGCCCTCAGGGGAAGGCATCCCCAAGACACCTGTTCTCTGAGAACCCTGATGGTGGGGCCCCATCAGATTCCCCAGGGCTTTCCCGGATCCAGGGAACCAGGGAGGTCCAGAGGGCTTTTCCTTAGCCCGGGCTGACTGGGGCTCTCATAGACTTGGCGGTTGCTGTGGGGCCTAGGGTGCCACCTGCAAAGCCAGCAGCCCTGGTGAGGCTTCTCTTAGGCTTCTCCTAGCCCCTCCGAGCATCGGTGGAACAGTCCAGGTGGCTCAAGAGTGTCCTCTCAGTGAATCTGTGTCCAGGCGATGAGCCGAGGGTGCTCAGAACGCAAGTCTTGCATGTGCCTGCCAGGTGGTCAGCTGTGACCTCTGACCTCTGACCCAGGGGTTGGCTCTGGGCACAGCTTTAAACAAAAGGAAAAGAAAGTTCTGACAACCAGTGGGTGGTGACGAAGGGCTTATGCTTTGGATCTGCACCTGCGCTCTGTCACTTAAAGGGTACCCTGCAGGAGAGGGAGCAGATGTAATCCCAATGCCAGCCTGGAGGAGGCCCTGCTGCCCAGAGTTGGAAGAGGCTTTGGAGGGAGAGAGCTGAAAGAGGGCAGCTGCCCAGAAGTCTGAGGCCCAGTGGGCCCTAGCTCCATCCCTACCAGCTGTGTGACCCAGGCCTGTGGAGCAGGGTAATGGCGCAGCTCCTCTAGGGGCTGTGAGTGCTGTGCTGGGAGAGAGCACTCTGTGACCAGGGGCGTGCAAGGGGAGCCACAGCCTGCCAGGGGTGGGGGTGGGGACGGGGCTGGGGAGGAGATGCCTGTGTTTTCCAAGGTTAGGAGAAGGGGAGAGAAGTCCCAGCTTTCTCTGGTCTCAGTGGCATCCCTGCAGGTGGGCAGCGTGGGCCGGGAGGGGGCAGCCTTCCCTGGGATTGGTCAGCAAAGGCCCCTTGGCAGGAGGTGGCGGTTCTGATATGCGGGTGAGGGAGTCCCAGGATGAGGAACGGCAGGTGCACCGGCCCTGGGGTGAGCCGGAAGAGGCAAGTTTGTGGAATAACCAGGTAGCCAGGGCTTCAAGGGAGCAAGGAGGGGTGAGACTGCAAAGCTGGTGGGGCTGGATTGCAGGGGGCCACAGTGGGACTTCAGGTTTTATACTAAAGGCAATGGGAACAATTGGAGGATTTAGGCCTAGAGGGCCTGAGACACTTGTGGAGGGCCGCCTGGAGGTGGGAGTGGGTGAGAGGGACCCTCCAGGCTACCTGTGGTCTCCCAGCTCAGGCCAGCGATGGGAGAGTTTGGCAGGATTTCTTTTAGAGACCTCCCTTCCCTGGGTACTGCTGAGCCCCAGGCAGGGCAAGGACAGGGGAGCAGTGTGTTTAGGTGGGGGAAGGTGTCAGGCCTCTCCACCCATCATCAGGGTAACGGCCAACACTCCTGCAGCAAGACAGGTCAGCAAGAGAAAAGCATCACAGAGTTATTGAATCCAAGTTTTATGTGACGTGGAGCCTTCAGGAATGAAGACCAAAAGACCCGGGGAAATGGTCTGGTGTTCAGATTTGATGGAACAGGGATTGCCATGCAAAAATGGGATTGGGGGCCTGGTGCGGTGGCTCACTCCTGATTACAGGAGTGTCACAAAGCGAGACTCTCTCTCAAAGAAAAAAAAAAAAATAGGATTGGGATGAAAGGGTGTGATCTACTGGAATAGATGGAGGTGGGGCCCCAACAAGGCCTGCATACTCCAATTCCTCTTGGCCTCTGCATGGCATTCCTTCCTCCTGGTATAGGACAGGACCTCTCTGGAACTTACAATCTGCCTCCCTCAGACAAGGTAATTTAGAGAATTTCTTTGTGGATGGCTCCTACCCAGGAAGGTGAGGGAAGGTTAGAGTCATATTTCTAGGTTTTATGGCTGGCTTTCAGGCAGAGGGGTTCTATTTCTTTTTTCTTTTTATACAGAGACAGAGTTTCACCATGGTCTTGATCTCTTCACCTTGTGATCTGCCTGCCTCGGCCTCCCAAAGTGCTGGGATTACAGGCGTGAGCCACTGTGCCCAGTCAGGGGTTCTAAATTCTGTGACCCACCTTGAAGAAGAATTCTGGTTTTGTTTTTCTTTTTCTTTCTTTCTTTTTTTTTTTTTGGAGAGATGGAGGTTTGTTATGTTGCCTAGGCTGGCCTCGAACTCCTGGCCTCAAGCAGTCCTCCTGCCTTGGCCTCCCAAAGTGTTGGGATTACAGGTGTGAGCCACTGTGCCCAGCCGTCTAGTTTCTATGACTCGCCTCAGGGGAGAAGGAGGGTGAGAGAGACAGGAGGGCAGAAGAAGGTCAGAGAGACTGTGCTTCTGAGGGCCCTTCTAAGCCCTTCTAGTCGAAGGTCTTAGCATGCCACAGCACCTTTCTTTAGGGTGTTGTCTTCTGACCCTCAACATTCATTACCTTGAATGTGTGCCTCCACATGCCAGGCATTGCCCTAAACCCTTGCACCTTCCTGTAAGCTGGAGTTCACTGGCCCATTTGACAGATGAGGAAACTGAGGCACTGGGAGAGGCAGAGAGACTCGGCTTGGGGTCATGAAGGAGATCTGAACCCTGAGACGGGAACCCCTGATCCCACGGGGCCCCTAATCCCAAATCCCTGGCCACCCGCTGAACTGGTTCAAACCAGAGGATGTGGAATGCCAGCTCCAGGCCAGGCTGGACCTGAGGTGCCGGTCTACCTGGCAGTTATAAGAAAAGGAAATTGCATGGGTTGCCACATTTACAACCTAAAACGGAGAGAGTTCACATAACCCAGACTTCTGGTTTCTCTTATGAAATTGGGGGATCTGGTGGTAGCAGACCGGCACTGGAGGAGGTCCCAGCCTGGCCTGTGCTGCTCCTGCTTCGGCAGGAAAGCCTGATGGGGAGGTGACAGCCATGGGGACCCTGGGGAAGGGAACAGATTCCAGAAGCAGCTGGGCTGGAGTAGCTGGCCTTGGGCCCCAGACCTTCGTGGGGAGGTGGGGCTCCCATCCATTTCTTTGTTTTGTTTTGAGACAGAGTCTCACTCTGTCACCAGGCTGAAGTGCAGTGGTGTGATCTCAGCTCACTGCAACCTCTGCATCCGGGGTTCAGGCAATTCTTCTGCCTCAGCCTCCCAAGTAGCTGGGACTACAGGCATGTGCCACCAAACCCAGCTAATTTTTGTATTTTTAGTTTTACCATGTTGGCCAGGCTAGTCTCGATCTCTTGACCTCACGTGATCCGCTCGCCTCGGCCTTTCAAAGTGCTGGGATTACAGGGGTGAGCCACCATGCCCAGCCAAGAGCTCCCATTTCAAATGCAGCATACTTAGCCTGCCGGGCCTCAGTTTCCACCTATGTCAAGCATGGGTTGACTGAGATGGTCTCGAAGTCCTGCTAGCCTTGGTGGTTCTGGAGGCTGAGCCTCAGTTTCCCTCATGTGTGCAGTGGAGGACATGATGGCGTTCTAGCTTTTGAAAATGCCCTTTAACCACCATTTATGGGGCTTTCCTTATACAACAGGCACTTTACTGACCTGGTTTCGTTCAGTCTTCACAGTAGGCTTGTGAGGGTAGCTGCACCATTAGGCCCATTTCACAGATGGGGAGACTAGGTCTGAGAGAGCTTAGGTGGCTTTCCCAAGGTCACATAGTCCCTGTGGCCAGGAGAGGCTTGGAGCCTGGGCAGTGGGTGGCCCCTGTGCATGGTGGGTCCTCAGAAGGACTTTCTGTCAGTATTATTGGTGGTGCTGTTAACTAGGGCCCTGCCTGGGTGGGGGCACCTGTTTTGGGCTCTTGGCTCTTGGACCAAGTAAAGCTGTGGCTATTTTATCCAAAGCCACCATTTTACAGATGCATACAAAGAGGCCTGGAGGGGCCTGGCCAGTGCCCTTTGTCTGGCATGGAGGGCTCTGCCTGGCACACCTCACCCACGGCCTCTGATGCCCAGCTTGGAGAAAGCGTAGAAGAGAGGCTGGGGGATGCCTCAGGGAGACTCAGCCCCCAGCCCCCACCTGTACCACAGGCCTGAGTGCCCAGGGGGCAGTGGTCTGGTTGGGAGTGGCTGAGACTCAGGGGCAAATGTCCCCATTCATCTTCCGAGCCGGGTGCCCTTGGTGAGTGACTTGGCCTTGCTGGACCTCAGTTTTCTTGTCTATAAAATGGGAAGTGTCATAGGGGAGCAGCCTACAGTAAGTACTGACCGGGCGGGTGAGGGGCAGCCTCGGGCCCACCCTCCTAGCGGGAGACATTTGGGGCACTCAGAAGCCCTGAAATGAGACCACCCTAACCTTGATTTTGGGAGCACAAAGGTCCCCCCAGAGACAGCACAGGAGCTGGGGTCTTCAGCCCTTGGGGACCTCGGTTCCTAGGTGTGCCTGGGTCTGTGGGGGATGCAGAGGCACAGGTGGACAGCTCCCTCTGGGTGGGCCGTGACCCTGCCTGGGCACAAGAGGGCCATGCCCGTCCGTCCTTGCCGTGATTCTTCCAGGCGGCACTGCCCTTACACCTCCTTTACAGAGGAGGAAGCTGAGGCCTGGGGAGGCCACAGGAGTTGGGCTCTGGGCCCAGAGCCTTGGTGGGGGTGCAGGGAAACACCCCCATGCCTTCGGGTATGGGAAAGAGGAAGCAGAAAGAAAGGGACGTCCGCCGGAGGCCTGGCGGTTTCCTCTTGGCCAGAGTGTGAGGAGGAGGAGGAGGGCTGGCAGGAAGCGGCTGCAGGAGGGGCGCCACCTTGGGCTCTGATAGGCGCAGGCCTGTCCTGCCCCTGCCCTTCTGAGCCCTGTGACCTGGAGGAAGGCACTTGGCCCTCTCTGTGCCTCAGTTTCCTCTAGTAAAAATAGCGGAATGATGGCTCCCACCCCAGACTGACTGACTGCTATCTGGGGAGCACCTAGGGCTGCGCCCAACAAGCCAGTGCCCGGCAAGGCTTTGAGGCTGCAGGCATCACTGGTGCAGGCATTTTAATTTATGAGTTATTGATTTATTTAGAGACAGAGTCTCACTCTCTTGCCCAGGCTGGAGCACAGTGGTGTGATCTTGGCTTACTGTAACTGCCACTTCCAGGGTTCAAGCAATTCTCCTGCCTCAGCCTCCCAAGTAGCTGGGATTACAGGCACCCACCACCGCGCCCAGCTAATTTTTTTTTTTTTTTTGAGACAGAGTTTTGCTGTTACCCAGACTGGAGTGCAATGGCATGATCTTGGCTCACTGCAACCTCCGCCTCCTGGGTTCAAGCAATTCTCCTGCCTCAGCCTCCCGAGTAGCTGGAACTACAAGCATGCACCACCATGCCCAGCTAATTTTTGTATTTTTAGTAGAGTCGGGGTTTCACCTTGTTGACCAGGATGGTCTCGATCTCTTAACCTCGTGATCCACCCGCCTCAGCCTCCCAAAGTGCTGGGATTATAGGCGTGAGCCACTGCGCCCGGCCAATTTTTTTGTATTATTAGTAGAGACACAGTTTTGCCATGTTGGTCAGGCTGCTGTGTGACCTGGGTACGTCCCAGCCTTCTCTGAGCTATGAAGTGGGTTGTGGGGAAGGAGGAGAGGGTTGGGCAGGGCTCCGTGGCCCCAGCCACACACACCGCCACCCTATCTGCCCCCTTATTGGGGTTCCACGCAAAATCGTTTTTGAAAAATTGCTTTGCCATTATAAGAAACCCCCGACCGCGCTGAAACCGCGGGGGCAGATGGTATCGAGGCACTTCCTTTCAGCTCAAATTCTGCGAATCCACAGCCTAGAAAGTGCCCTGAATCCAACAAGTGGGGGGTAATTAAGTTGTTAAGGTCCATCCCCGCCCTGTCCTGCTTACCAGACCTGGCTGCTCTTACTGGCTTCTTGGAGTTTGGTGTGGTGTATTTTTTTGTTGTTGTTATTTGCGGGGCTGGTGTTGAGATCATCGTGGAGTCAGGGCTATGGGCTTGGAGGGTTAGGGTCAGGGTCCAGGGGTGAAGAGTGGACACTGGAGAGGGGCAGATGGACAGGGTCAGGTTCAGATCTTCGCTCTTGTATCCTTGCTGTGTGGCTCTGGGCCAAGAACGTGGCCTCTCTGAGCCTCAGTGGCTCATTATGGAAAATGGGATGCCAGCACTTGCCTTAGTGGGTTGTTTTGAGCCAAATACAGGCTCAGGGAGAAGCTGGCATGATATGTTCTTACCCTGAAGGGCGGAAAAAGGTGAAGGAGGCCACTAGATCCCAGAGGTGGGACCCCAGGGTCCCTTCCTGAGATGGGCAGCAGCCTAGCTGCTCCCCACAGCACCCCTGGCAGGCCCCACTGGTGCTGCTGGAAATCCCCCACCCAGTTCTTTGTGAATGGAAAAGGAAACCGAATGCACTAGAAGAGGTCTCTGAGTCCCAGCCTGATGGGGGGGCTTCCTCCCCCAGTGCAGGAGGGGCCACCTCAGCTTCCTTTCTGCGGCCCCATACCCCCTTTTTCCTATCTCCCCTCTGAGTTGAGGAGGAGTCTGTGGACCCTGCCACTGTTTGGCCTCTAGAATCAGTGGGTGACAGCATATATTGGGGTGATATAAGGGCCACATGGCCTCTGGGCCTCCCTCGATGTGACTGCTGCCCAGGACCCCCCACCCCTTGCCTGACTCGAACGCTGACCTTGGGCCTCCACACAGGGGTACCACTGTGGGAGGAGAGAGAAACCTCTCTCTAGGGTACCGCTTAGAAGGGAGCCCTGCCCTGTTTTCATCTGTGCACCCCATATAATCTAGGAAACTGTCTGTAACTTGCCAGGGGCCTTCATGTCTGAGTCCTAATGTTTTTTCTTTTTTCTTTTTGAGAAGGAGTTTCACTCTTGTTGCCCAGGCTGGAATGCAATGGTGCTATCTTGGCTCACTGCAACCTCTGCCTCCGAGGTTCAAGTGATTCTCCTGCCTCAGCCTCCCCAGTAGCTGGGATTACAGGCATGTACCACCACACCTGGCCAATTTTTTTTGGTATTTTTAGTAGAGACAGGGTTTCTCCATGTTGATAAGGTTGGTCTCAAACTCTTAACCTCAGGTGATCCACCTGCCTCAGCCTCCCAAAGTGCTGGGATTACAGGAGTGAGCCACTGTGTGTTTTGCTTTTTCAATTAATCAAGCTCATGGCAGAAACTATTAAAAAACAAACAGTACCTGAAAAATTTCCCACCATCTCACTACCCAGAGAGAATCAGCATTTCTATTTGGTAGATATCATCGTCAGTTGTCGTCATTTTTGTTTTTGCTCTGTCTCCCAGGCTGGAGTGCAGTGGCACCATCTCGGCTCATTGCATCCTCAACCTCCTAGGCTGAAGTGATCTTCCCACCTCAGCCTCCCAAGTTGCTGGGACTATTTAATGCTGCTATTAGCATAGATATTAGTAGGATACTATGCCCTGCTAATTTTTAATTTTTTTTGTAGAGACAGAATCTTACTCTGCTGCCTAGGCTCATCTCAAACTCCTAGGCTCAAGCAATCCTCCTGCCTGGTCTCCCAGAGTTCTGGATTACAGGCATGAGCCACCACCGCATCTAGCCTCTTCTCTGTCTTTAACTTTGCCTCCTCCCCCAAATCGCAATTCCTTCAGCAGTTGCTGGGAAGGGATTACTTTTTGCACAATTCTGTCTGGAGCCCTTGGTAGGCAGGAGCTTGTGGACTAAAACTTCAGCCCTTGCGGGCCTGGCATTCCTCATACTATTTAGTCACCTGCTTTTTTCATTTTGTATCCTGAACATTTTTCTGTATTTTTTTTCCACCTCCCAGGTTCAAGTGATTCTCCTACCTCAGGCTTCTGAGTAGCTGAGATTACAGGCACCCACCACCACACCCAGCTAATGTTTGTATTTTTAGTAAAGATGGGGTTTCACGATGTTGGGCAGGCTGGTCTCAAACCCCTGACCTCAGGTGATCTGCCCACTTCAGCCTCCCAAAGTGCTGGAATTACAGGTGTGAGCCACCATGCCCGGCCCATTTCTAACTTTGTTGCTGGTATAGATGACCCTGGGATGAACACCTTCTGTGTCAGTCCTGGTGCCCGCCTCTGATGACTTTCTTCTGCTCAGTTCCTAGAAGGGGAGTGTTGGATCAAGGCTTTTATGAACACTTCTGATGCGTTCTTTCTCTCAAAGCTTTACTGAGATATAATTTACATACCATAAAATTCACTTGTGTAGGCCAGGTATGGTGGCTTATGCCTGTAATCCCAGCACTTTGGGAGGCTGAGGCGGGCAGATCATGAGGTCAAGAGATCCAGACTCCTGGCCAACATGGTGAAACTCCATCTCTATTAAAATACAAAAATTAGCTGGGCATCGTAGCACACATGTAGTCCCAGCTACTTGGGAAGCTGAGGAAAATTGCTTAAACCCGGGAGGCAGAGGCTGTGGTGAGCCAAGATCATGCCACTGTACTCCAGCCTGGCGACAGAGCAAGACTGTCTCAAAAATAAAATTTGCTTGTGTAAAGAATACAATTTATTGGTTTTTAGTATATTTACAGAGTTGTGCAACCCTCACCATAATTTTATAACATTTTCATCATTGAAAAAGGAAATTTTATACCCGTGAACAGTCACGCCCCATACCTCCCTCCCCAGCCCCTGGCAACCACTCCTCTCCTTCTGTCTCCAGGGACTTGCCTATTCTGGACATTTCACATACATGGAATTGTAGACTACGAAGCCTTTTGTGTCTGGCTTCCTTCACTTAGCATCATGTTTTCGAGGTTCCCCGAGGTTACGGCATGTGTTTTGTTCCTTTTTATGGCTGAATAATACTCCATTGTGTGGATTTACTCGGTTTTGCTTATTTAGTCGTCACTTGATGGACATCAGGTTATCTTCACTTTCTGGCTGTTATGAAATAATGCTGCTCTGATCATTTCTGGACAATCTGTTGTATGGATCTGTGTTTTCGTTTCTGTTTCATTTCTCCTGGGATACATCTAGGGCTATTTTTTTTCTCTACACTGCACTGATAGTGTACTGGGGCACATAACAATTCTATGTTTAATTACAATAACATTGGGCTGGGCACGGTGGCTCAGGCCTGTAATCCCAGCACTTTGGGAGGCTAAGGCAGATGGATCACTTGATGTCAGAAGTTTGAGACCAGCCTGGCCAACATGGTGAAACCCTGTCTTCACTAAAAATACAAAAATTAACTGGGAGTGGTAGTGGCTGCCTGTAATCCCAGCTATTCAGGAGACCAAGGCAGGAGAATTGCTTGAACCCAGGAGGCGGAGGCTGCAGCAAGCCAAGATCATGCCACTGCACTCTAGCCTGGGCAACACAGTGAGACTCTGACTCAAAATAAGTAAATATACTGCCAACCTGTCTTCCAAAGCAACTGCACCTTTTTATATTCCCGGCAGCATTTCATGAGGACTCCAGTTTCTCTACATCCTTATCAGTACTTACTATCTGTCTTGATTACAGCCATCCTAAAGGGTGTGAGGTATCTCAGTGTGGTTTGTTTTTTTTTTAAACAGGGTCTTGCTCTGTCACACAGGCTGGAGTGCAGTGGCACTCTCTCAGCTCACTGCAGCCTTGAACTCCTGGGCTCAAGTGATCCTCCCACCTCAGCCTCTTGAGTAGCTAGGATTACAGGTACATACCACCACACTCGGCTAATTTTTGTTTTTTTCCTACACTATGCTGATGTGGTTTTGTTTTTGTTTTTTGAAGAGCTGGGGTTTCACCATATTGCCCAGGCTGGTCTCAAACACCTGCGCTCAAGCAAGCCTCGTGCCTCAGCCTCCCAATGTGCTGGGATTACAGGTGTGAGGTACCAGCTTTAGCCTCAGTGTGGTTTTGATTTGCATGTCCCCGATGGAAAATGGTGTTGAGCATCTTTTCATCTACCTAATAGCCATTTCTTACTCTTTTGATACATTATTTTTGAGTAGGCTTCCAGAAAGGTTATAGCCATGTATCTTCTTGTCACCAGTGATGCCAGCACTGGGTATTATTTTAAAAACCTTTGCTACCTTCTGGATGAAAAGTGGTTATCTTATCCTTTCTAAGTGTGACTGACCATTTCTTTGTTAAAAACTGAGACATATTCATATACCATAAAATTCACTTGTTTAAAGTGTAGAATGCACTGGCTCTTAGTCTACTTCAACTGTTGTGCAATGATCACTATCTAATCCAGAACATTTCCATCACCCTAGAAAAAATCTCAGAGCAGTCAGTCCCAAAACTCCCTGAGTTTTCTGTCCCTGTGGAGTTGGACTGTTTCTCCTCTGTTCTGTGGTCACACACATTCCTTGTGATTTATCAGGTTATTTCCTCAGCATGTTTGTCTCCTGCACTGCCTGCTTTTTTCTTGATTTGTGAGCACTCTCATGGCATAGATATTAGCTCTGTCCCACGTTGCAAATATTTCCCTGGTTTCCGATTTGACTTTTAAGTTTTGCTCCTGCATTTCTTGACCTATGGAGGTTTGCAAGTTCCAGGCAGTAAAATCCTGTGATCTTTTCCTTTATGGTTTTGTTCTTTGCTTTTTCTCCTTAGAAAGGCCTTTCCCCACCGAGAATCAGATAAATACTTAGGTTTTATTCTAGTTCTGTCTTGGTTTCCTTTTTGAGTTATTGAATCCAGCTGGCTTTTGTTCTGCATGGCTGATATGATTTCCTGTTGTTTTGTGATGTCAGTGAGCAGCTCTGTGTCAAGGCCTGTGACATAATAAATGCTCAGTAAACAAGCTAAAATGATAGTCATGAAAATCCGTGCTGGGTGGAGCTCGGAAGGACGCGGGATTCCAGTGCTGTGCTCTGGCTGGAGGAGAACCTGGCCTGGCTGTGCTCGCTGGTTGGGAGCCCCCCTGCCCCAGAAGCCCTTGCTCTCACCTCTTCTTCTGAATCATCATTCTTCGAAGGCAGGCAGTAGCTACCGTCGTCTGGGGCTTTGGGGATCTTGATGGTGATGAGTCCCCTCTCCTCTAGTGCACTCCCCCCACCCGAGATGGGCGACAGAGATTTTTTGTTGTTTCTTAACCACATCTTTTTCCACCCACACCCGGTGCAGAACAGATGCTTGGCTGGGGCTTCCCCAAGCTGGTCCTGGCTCTGTGGCAGGGGGTTGGGCTGTCGGCGCCCCATTCAAGCCTGGGGACCTGGCCCTGCTGGTGTGTGATACTTAGACCCCGCCCTGGGGCCCCATGATACCCTCCGTGACTGTCACAGACTTGGGGCCTGGCTGCTGTCCTCACTGGTGTTTGTTTTTGAGAGGGAGTCTTGAGAAGTTGCCCAGGCTGGAGTGCAGTGGTGCAATCTCAGCTCACTGCAACCTTCACCTCCCTGGTTCAAGTAATTCTCCTGCCTCAACCTCCAGAGTAGCTGGGATGATGGGTGTGTGCCACCATGCTTGGCTAATTTTACTATTTTTAGTAGAGACAGGGTGTCACCATTGGCCAGGTTGGTCTCAAACTCCTGACCTCAAGTGATCCACCCATCTTGGCCTCCCAAAGTGCTGGGATTACAAACATCAGCACCCCCCAACCAGTGCAGGGAAACCGGGCTCGCCCCCTCCCTGCCAAGGGAGCTGCTTGCTCTTCTGTTTGGAGGCCAGCACAGCCTAGCACTTATGATTTGGGGCATCCATGGGCTTGTGGTGGCCAGGAACAGGAGGTGTCACCTGAGAAGGGTGTGGCCAAGGGTAGGGGTGCTGGGCTCAGCCAGGCTGGCCACAGGCAGGAAGGATTCCTGCGGAGAAAGCTAGGAGCAGGATGTAGTCATGTGAGTTGTGGACTGATGACAGCTGGCATGCAGCAGGGGAGGTCCACTGGGACCGGGCCTGGAGTGGGGTCTGGTGGCCTGCCGGGTATGGAGCCAAGTGCTGCCTGGAGATGCCATCCTGTCCTTCGAAGTGGCTCAAGCCTGCTGGGGACAGTGTGGGCAAGTGGAAGCTGCTGTGTGTCCTGTGCCATGTGTTGGCCTGTTGGCTGTCAATGCAGTGCAGCTCCCAGGGCCTGACAGTTGTTTGTCCTTATTTGGTACTCGAGAGCCCAGTGTTTTGGCCAGAATGGTGCCCTGCATGGAGGGCACGGCAGGGCATGGCTTGAGTGAAGGTGTGGAGGGAGAAGGCCCTGGGGATGTGGCTCCCCTCCCTCCATCCTGCCCCCTGCAAGGCCCCATCCCTGGACATCCCTCCCAGGTGGGCTTGGACTTCCTGTCCATGTGTCGGGGGTGAGAGCACCAGGGGAAGGTGCCCATGGGGTGAGGTGGGGAATGTGGGGAAATTCAGGCATCATCTCTTATAAGCCACTGCCTTGCACATAGCCCCCTCCCATGGCAGGCCCGAGAACAGAAGTGTCCCACCATCCTCACAGTGGGTTGCAGGGGCCATGTGTACCCCGTTCCTCTACCCTTGACCACCTTGTGGAGTTGACACCCACATCTGAGGAGGGGACCATGTGGCTGCCCGGGACTCTGGACTGGTCTAGGAGTAGGTGTGGTGGGGGCTCTTTGCCTGCATGAAGGTCTCCCTCTGGGTGTCTGTCACTGCGGGGAGGCCACTCTAGCATCTGAAAGGGGCTCTGTCCTGGCCATCATGATTCTGTGTTGGGGGGTTGGTCACTGTCTCTTTGAGAGGGGTCTTTGTGTCTGTGTCCCTCTGATTCTTTGACATGCAGGAGGACCCTGATGGGAACTGAGGGGGAATTCACTCTGAGTGGGGTTTTAGACAGGCCCCCAAGCATTTCTGGCTAATCACTCCTCCCCCTCCCCCCATGCCCCCATCCCCATTCCACATGCAGATGGGAAAGGCAGGCCAGTGTGTGTCCTGTTGCTCACGTTGCACTCACTCAGTATGAGCTGGGATGGCATCTGCCTGGAGGGGGAATCTGACTCTGAACAGGGCTGCTGTATTTGGGGGCATCTCATTCACCGTGTCTGTCTCTGCCTCCACCATCTGACTGGGAGAATTCCTCTCGGGGTTGGGGTGGGCACCAAGCCTTGTCCCAATGGGGGCCCAGCCCTGAGTCAGGCCCAGAGGAGGTGCTTGGAGGATTTGCTGGGTGGACAGATGGATGAACATTTGATTGGCCCTGAAGTCCTCAAATGTCTGGAAGCAGGGGGAGGTTTGTGTTTCTGGTACTGGGGGGCTCTTGCCAGAAAAGGGGAAAAGCTGACTTGACCCATCTGGCTTTTCTGGAAGCTTCTCCCTTCTCTTTCCTGCTCCCCTGCGGCAACAGGGCACCTGAGGCAGCAGGGTACCAACCAAGGCGGGATCTGGCCTATAATGAATGGGCCAGGTGTTCTGGGCAGCAGGCAGACTCACTCGTAGACATCTCAGGGAGTGGGTTCCATTATCATCCCCATTTTACAGGTGAGGAAACTGAAGTATAGTGGGCCAAAGTTGATTTGCTCAGGGGCTGGGATTTGAAGGGCCTGAGAAGGAGGGGCTGGGCTTGGGGTCCTGGTCGGGGCAGAGCAGAGAAGCACGCTATTGCCTATAGTTTCCACACTGATTTGGTCACTGGAATTGGCTCATTGCCTTCAGTTTTCCCCCCCAAGGAACTGGGGCAAAGGGGACTGAGATCACCCACCACACCCCATACCTCCCTCTGCCTCCCAGGCACTTCAGAGCTTGGGGTCCCAGGTACACACCCAAATGCTCATCCATCTGTCCGCCTGGCAAACCCTCCAAGTACCTCTTCTGGGCTTGTGCCAGGGCTGGGTCCCCGCTGGGAGCAAGGCTTGGTGCCCACCCCAACCCCTGAGAGGAAGTCTCCCAGTCAGATGGTAGAGGCTGCTGCATCATGGGGAAACCATGGCCAGTCTGATAAGTTCAGTGCTGAGACGCACAGGAATTATACTAACCATGACTTAGTGGCCATAGAAGGCTCCCTGGAGAAGGGGGGAGGTTTTCTTTGCTGGGACGTGCAGTTTGGGTCAGGCAAGGCATCACAAAAGCAAGGGCCTGGTGGCGGGAGGTGGTGTGGGCGGGAAGGCAGGTGGAGGGAGACCCTATATTGCAGGTGCTGGGGCTAGGCAGATGAGGGTTGGAGCCCCAGCTCTACTTGGCTCTTTCCCATGGCTGGGGCATGGGGTGATTTTGGCTTTCTGTCTGTAGCATGGGGGCTCCTGATGGTGCCCTTACAAAGAGGTCAGCAGGCTGCCACACCTGAGCCTGCCTTTCAGCCTGCCCTCTTAAGTGGCCAGCTGGAGGGGCCCTGGGAGGCCTACCCTGGCCCTGATTGCACTGACTTGCAGCTTCCCTGTCACTCATGGTCTCCACTGGGGTGGGACATGGCAGTAGGGGCCATCATCCCCTGTGCCCCCCATTACCCAGCACAAAGGATGCTTGGCCAACAAAAGGCCCATGATGAATGTTGAGTACCTACCACCTAGCAGGCATTGGCTTGCTGCCAAGGACACCACGTGAGCAAAGCGACGGCGTCAAGGAATGGGTGAGACCAGCTCATAGAACAGCAGGCAGGGAAGGAAGTAAAGGGGCTTCTGCGACTGTGGTTTTAGATACTGTGGTCAGGCAGGGCCTCCCTGAGGAGATGACAATTTGAGAAGCAGTGATATTTGTGAAGCTATGTGGGGAGCTGCCTCTGAGGGCATAGCAGATGCGCAGGCTCCGAGTGTGCCTGGTATACTGAAGAAGAGTGGAGACCAGTATGGCTGGATCAGAGTAAGGTAGGGGGAGCCACGAAGCTGAGGAGGTAATGGGGTTCTCTCAGATAGGGACCACAGGGGAGTTTTTTCTTTTTTTAAACAGTCTTGCTCTGTCGCCCAGGCTGCAGTGCAGCGATCTCGGCTCACTGCAACCTCTGCCTCCTGAGTTCAAACCATTCTCCTGCCTCAGCCTCCTGAGTAGCTGGGACTACAGGCACCCACCACCACGCCTGGCTAATTTTTCTTTTCTTTTTTTTTTTTTTGAGACAGAGTTTTGCTCTTGTTACCCAGGCTGGAGTGCAATGGCGCCATCTCGGCTCACCGCAACCTCCACCTCCTGGGTTCAGACAATTCTCCTGCCTCAGCCTCCTGAGTAGCTGGGATTACAGGCACGCGCCACCATGCCCAGCTAATTTTTTGTATTTTTAGTAGAGACGGGGTTTCACCATGTTGACCAGGATGGTCTCGATCGCTTGACCTCGTGATCCACCCGCCTCGGCCTCCCAAAGTGCTGGGATTACAGGTGTGAGCCACTGCGCCTGACTTAATTTTTGTATTTTTAGTAGAGATGGGGTTTCACTGTTAGCCAGGCTGGTCTCAAACTCCTGACCTTGTGATCCTCCCCGCTCAGTCTCCTGAAGTGCTGGGATTACAGTCCTGAGCCACTGTGCCTGGCTGTGGAGTTTCTTGAGATAGGATTTTGCTCTGTTGCCTAGGCTCGAGTGCAGGGACACCACCATAGCTCACGGCAGCCTTGGCCTCCCTGCCTCAGCCTCCATAGCTGCAGGGAGTTTTCAGCTGAGGAGGAGAGTAGGCTGGAGCAGCATAGTGGGGGTGGGAATAGTTAATTCTGGAATACTTGGGTGTAGTCTGATGGGATAGCAATTTTTTGATGCTGCCCAGCTCCCAGGTGGTCCAAATGTCATACTGTTTTCTGGCCTGACTCCTCTTCCCTCACTGGGGGCTCTTTGTGAACACCCCTCTTTTCCCCAGCAGTTGTCTGGGATTGGAATCCAGGCTGCTCAGCTCCCAGCACCCAGTACCCACCACTTTCTGCCTTTGAGCGATGAGCTGTGCATCCCCTTCTGCAAATCTTCTGTGGCTCACTGGCACCTGGGGGAAGGTGGGGGTCAGAGGCCTCCCTGCCCAGCCCTCTCAACCTCAGGTGCCAGTGGGTGTCAGACCCACCAGGGCCCATGTTAAAATGCAGATTCCAGGCTCCCTTCCAGATGTCCTGTGCCAGCAGGTCACA